GTCGTCACCGTCCGACAGAGGTCGACAAGGATATGAGAAGTTCAGAAACAAGCAAAGTATTCACCATTTTCACAGAGACCATAATTCACCTTGTTTACCACCCCAAAAAAAAAAAAACTTTGCATAACCATTGTTTTCGATTTCTCTTGGGACGACTGTAATGCCCTGGAGAATTTGGAAACATTGGTTATGCAAAATTCTGAGGGGGAAAACAAGGTGCATCATGGTCTATATGAAAGTAGTGATTACAAGAGATGTAAAGCGTGCGTAAATTAAGCTATTTGACGGACAACCTAGTCCCAAGGTCTCCCAGGAGTTGTGCGGGGTTGCGTAAATGAAGACTACGCGACGGGCCAACGCGACGCGCTCAGGAGGGTCTACTGGAACTCCCTGACGAGAGACAACCTCTGAAGCGCAAGGAAAATTGACGAAAATTACTTCTTCTTGGCACTCAGACTGGTGATAAATTAGCCAAACCACCGTTCTTTGTCGCATATTCTCGGTTTTGCCGTCATTGTCGCAATTTGGCCGAAGGAGGTTGTCGCTTGTCGCCATTTCGTTTTAGGCTCTGTCGCTACTTTTTGGATCATGTCGCTTGTCGGAATTTACCCTGGCAGGGCCTCTACAAACAGAATAGAGGGCCACTCAATCGTTAAAAGGCTAAATTAAGTTTATTAAAGCTGCTTATTATTATGAAAAAGTGTCGATCGGTAATTGGTATTATTAAAAACCTTGGAGCCTTGTTAACAAGCCGTTTATCGGCCCTGAGCTCTTAATGTTTGGTAATTACCTGATCCAGATCATGATCTTACCGTATCATCTGATTCACCTTGCCGCTCTCTCCGTTGTTTGAGCCTTCCAGATGGCTTTACAGTCTTTGATTCGAGAATATCCTCTGTGAGACCGACTGAACGTTTCTTTGTCTTTTTATCTTTGCCCATAGTGGCTAAAAAAGCTTCAAAATGACTTCTAGCTCTAATACTTTACAGCCGCTATGATGAAACCCACGTGCACAAACGCGAAAACAGTCCAGCGGACAATGAATCCTCTGTATAAGAGGATTTCAAAACCATTCTCGTTCCGCCTCGTTCCAGGATCCTCTCTTTTCTGCCAAAAAGAGATCAGCCTCCCACGGACCCTCCCTTTTTTTCCCCATGCCACCGCCTCCCCCACCCACCCAGAAAGACGCTATTTTTTCAAAAACGTTAGCGCCTGTTCTGCAGGCTAAAATCCTTACTAGAAATACGTTTATCGCAAAACCTCACGAGGCTGTAAGGGCAAGCAGTATGAATTTGGAATCCAGAATCCAATACTGTTTTGGACACTTACGTGGGTTTGCTGGAAAATCACTGCGGAGCGGGGATCGACCCTTGATCTGTCATGTGGTGAAAACTCGTGTGCGAGATGGAACGCACTGACAAATATTCTTTTATCTCCTGTCTGTGCACAACTGCCCGGCCGCCCCTCCCCCAGTTAAAAAAATCAAGGGAGGGGGCAACTCGATCCTAAAACTTTCGCAAAAGCCAACGGGACACCCTCGGGAAAAGCTCTAGTGTCCGCTTAATTCTAGGTTACCACTTTATACAGGTTTTGATAGAGAACGCCAAGAGGGGTCAAGTATGACGTTATATGTTTGCATTGGACTAATTATTGGAAATCATTGCAGGCCACCATCCACGCGTTGTGCGCGCGACAAATTTATAAACCTCGGCTTCACGTAGCCTGAATTTCATTCGATTACTTCGAGTCGTTATTACTCCTTTAAATGATCATGAAATTCAGGCTAGGCTTCACGAGGAATAAACAGATCATACTTTAAATCTCTTTACGGAGAGTCGAATACGGCGCTGAGGTTTTCTCAACAAATTGACCACAATGGCGAAGGGTGAATAAGATTCAGACCAAGTAATTCCACTAGCCGATAACCAATTTTTCCCACTTTTTTAACATTCGAATACTGACTTTATAAGCCATTTACGAGCTCCAAAAACTCCCACTTTCAAAACGAGGCTAAGCGCAAAACCTTGAGAAAGTGAGTTTTATTTGCGTGGGAATGAAAACATCATTTTATCAATGGCTTCTTATTTCGCCTCGCTTTGAAAGAAAGGCTTGGGGAAACTCGGAAATGGCCATTAAACTGCTTTGGATGATTAGCTTGATTCGTCCAAAGATTTTTCAACGCTAGCACAATAATTGGCTTGAATCGTCCAATAATATATCATTGGACGGACAACATCACGGAATATACGGTGGCTTCTCAGTGTTTTGCTTTAAAAAGAATGAGACCACGAAAAACTTGCGTAACAGACAAAATAAATTGAGTGTTTAACGCGGCGTTTCTATTGGTCAGTAAGTTCAAAGTGATACAGATACTATTGAACGATGTGCACGGTCAAATCTAAAAAAGGTTACAACGAATATAACAAAGGAGCCTGATGGGAGTCTTTATCATTGCACTTTAATTATTAGCTATGGTCTTTTCCAATGACCGCTATTACTTATTTATTTTTTTACAAAAAGTCTGCTATCTAAAGCTTGTAATTTTATCCATAAATTGGAGTTCCATTGGAACCATTAAACGCAACCTTGCAAAACCTCAGAACACTATACCAATAAGGTTTACATGAACATTATTATAATTTCTATTATGGTGTTAATAAAATTTAAACAAAGCACTGACAACATTGTCAGGAAGATCTTAATGTACAATTTTAGTAAAATGATTTCGATTACATATCCAAGGCTCATTTTGTAAATACACCTTTACATTAACTGTAACATAAGCTCAGTTGTATTATACAAATATAAATAAAATGTAAAATCTTTAAAATGTCCTAAGAAACAAAAGTTACATGTATTTCCATTACTTGTTTTAATTTCTGAGAACAAACAAAACCTTTCTCAGGCTTTAAAATTGGCCTTGCTGTTTCAACTGAATATTTGTATGCAAATTGAACAGCACTATTTATTTGTTAGTAAACACAAAACCTTGCTTTGAGAGCACAAGGCAAAGACTACATCGAGATAGGCGTTGTTCAGCTAAGCGCAGTTGGTGGACCAAAATACCTTGCTAGAGACCATGAGATGTGGTGGGACAAGAAAAACAAAAAGCTAACAGCATTTAAAAAACACACTTTCGTTTTTTTGCTAAGTTTCACCGCATCGTTTGTCATCCAGCAAGGTGTTTTGTAAGAGACTATTTAGGAACAAAGGGCCTATTCTTAATTGAACAGGGAAATTCCAGCTTGTAATTATTAATACATTGTTGAGTAACACTACTTTTATCAGTGCCCCCTTAAGAAATTTTGTGTGCAACATCCACAACCAACATCTAAGCTAGGCAGGTGAGTATTAATTACCAGTACTGAGTTTTAAGGTGTAGAGATCCTACAACTTAGTTGGTATTTTTGAACATATAGCCTGTGCCAGGCTCTTTGGTCAGTGCAGATGAGTGAAAAAAGTTAGCAAGTAGCAAAAAAAGCTAACAAGGGAAAAACCCGAGGGAAGAGGGAAGTGGAGGGCCTGTAAGAATCTTTTTAAATACCTCAGTCCACCCAATACCCCATCCACTTCCAAAACACAATCTTGCGTTGAAAAGTCAAAGGTCTAAAAGTGTGATGCACAGGTGGAAGCCAAAATGATCAATGTTAGTGTTGATGTAAACTGTCAAAATTCATCAGTCAAAAGGAGGTGATATATGCATGCTGAAATGAGGTATTGAAAACAATGCTAACAGGCTCCAATTCCCCTGTCTCACCAGCCCCCACATGGTTTTTGCCCAGCTTTTCTTGATATGCTTTCCCTAATCTCTGGAGCCTGGACAGGCTATTGTTACCAGACAAGCGCTCATAGACAAATTTGCATATTTTGTCACATATGCATCCAACCATATAATCCATTATTCTTATTCTTTGATAAAAAATGCAACATCTGGATACTATTTAGCTTAGGAAAAACTCCTTTGAGTTTTTCTAATGTTGGTGTAAGTACACTTACAGTTTCTATGGCTAATTTACTCTAAAAAAATATGACAATTTGCCACATAACAGCTTTTCTTGCATATAATGTACCTCTTGGAAATTCTGCATAAATCCTAACATTATTCCCACATCCTATGAGCCTATTTACACTGTGTCAGTAGTGCAATATAATTACTACTGTGTGGTTCCGGAAAATATCCATACCCGTCACACAGAAGACTCTTTGATTTGCACCCCTGACCCCCCAGGATTTTCCATTCCAGAGGGTCTTTGATGACCTCCCCACCCCCGCCTCCTGCCACGAATTTCCAGTTTTTTTAAACAGGGACTTCTTACGATCCTCAAAAATTCAAAGTGGTTTTGGTACTTTTTTAAAAAAAGAAAGTGAATACTAACTCAGTTACGAACGGTAGAATTTTATTACAACAGGGAAAACTTTTGTTAAGCTATTATTCAGCTAAACTTTTAGCTTCTCCGCCATCAATTTGCAAATTATGTCTTTGTTGTTTTTATGTAATTAAACTAAAGCTTAAACGTATGTATGTTTTTGTGCTTCAGATCAATTCTACATTGCTTTCAATGTTTTGTACATGGTTTGTCACCCTTTGGAAAAGTAGTTTCTCCATGAACCCCACCCCCCCACCCCTAGGAACTTTCTGCCTTTGAACCCCCCCTCCCCCTCGGAATTTCCAATGATCTTCTGTGGGGGTATAGATATTTTCTGTAACCGCACAGTACCTTTTAAATTTATTACTTTACAATTGCACAGTCAGGGCGGAATGTTCTGCCATCACTGATCATGGCATTATCTAGGCCATCATCCTCCCTCTGTGGATTCAGTTTGATACTCTCACTAAATGATTTCTTGCCAGTTTTACGGCGACTGCTTAAAAAAGAGGCAAACGAGCAACAATGGTGTTAGATAGTGACTGAAAACAACTTAAGGCGAGCATGAACTCATTCCCACCATATAAGGTAACCTTATGTGCTAGGCATTTGCTACCAAATAAACTGAATCTAACTATAGCCAGTTGATGTGTAGCAAATACTGCAATGTGTGGTCAGGATAATTACATGACTGAATTAAACGTACTTCTGTATGTAGCATTTAGCCTATATTAGGCTCTTGGTCAGTGCAGATGAGAGAAAAAAGCGGGTAAGCAGCGAAAAATTGAGTGAACGAAAAATGGTTGAAAAAGAGAAGGGGAGAGCCTTTAATTAAGCACCTTTTTAAATACCTCAGTCAACCAGATAAAAAAGTATCTCCTTTAAAAGCCACTTAGCGATCAGATAGTGGTAGAGTTCACGCTAGCTCACAAATTTAATTTAATTTAAATCCTGCATAAAATCAGTTTTTCTGCTGCTGATTTTGTTAAACCTGGTTTATTAACACCTGCCTCCCTTTTGGTGATGCTGCTCTCGGCAACAGGGTGTGAACCCAGCTGAGATGATTCTGGAAAAACTGTTTATTGGCCTTGAAGGATTTAGTATGGTCTAATGATGAAGAGGAAGCCATTTCCGCGGAATAATGACATTCATTATTTTTTTACTGTTATAGAATAAACAGCAAAATGTGACTTCCTTACCAAACAATGAATAAGCATATGCTGTGAATCACTAAAGAACAAGCAATGCATACTGCTAATATGATTGCCAGTAGCTGCCAAGTGTCTATAAAGTAACCAAACAAACAATTTAGGCTGCATGAATTCAAAATCATGACATACACAGTGATTTTGTTGCCTCTGTATCCTAAATACCTGATGCATAAGAATCCCCCATTCATGGCATACGTCTCATAGGACACAAAGATTGATTAATCAATCTGAAGATGTGTTTGTAGAATATCCTGTTTGTGTGATTTCTGTGGCTATTATTATGACTCTTGTTTTTTGAACTGGGGCCATTGGTTCTGGACTGGGACTCATGATGTTTCACAAGATGAGTCCCAGGAAACACCATTGGTGACAAAACCACAGGATGCAATGTACTAAGAAACTCAGATGTAAAGCTGCCAACTACCATAACTCTGGCATGGACCTATCTCACACCAACTCATGCCTGTGAAATAATTTATCCCACCTAGCACATTTGAGCTTTCAAAGCCTTAAATAGCCCACGTCTAATATATTGAAATGCTAACTATAAGGTTTTAGGTTTGTTTTGGTAATTTCACGCGTTTTGGTAATTTCACTTCTATCATACCATGGATCTGCAGTTTCCTAACAGATCAGTGGCAATGTGTGAAACTAGGGCAGACCGTCTCCAACTGGCTCCCAGTACATGCCGGTGTCCCTCAAGGGACCAAACTGGGTCCTATACTCTTTGTAATAATGATTAACAATTTGAAATTGGCCTCCTCGTGTTGCTCATACTGGAAATATGTAGATGACGTCACAAAATCAGAATTTGCAGCGGCACGCGGGGTGTCAATTTTGCAATCGGAACTTGACAACATCAGCACTCGGGCTGCTGCTACAAACAATATGGTTCTTAACCCCAAAAAGTGCAAGGAGATGACTTTGCATTTTTGTAGAGTCGTGGACCATCTCCCATCAGCCTTGGCCATAGGCACTAAGGCCCTTGAGTCAGCCGATGCCCATAAAGTATTGGGTGTTACAATCCAAAGTAATCTCAAATGGGATCTGCACATTAATGAGGTTGTGACTAAGGCACTACCAAGAGACCTTAGTTAAGTACTACCAGGTGTGTACCACTTCACACAAGAAGGATGGAGTTGTGTAGCAAATTATTCACAAAGATAAAAGAGCCCGAGTCCCGTCTTCGTCATCTTGTTCCACCGACTCAGTCGTAGGTGCACGGCCGCTCTCTTCGCAACAAAGACAGATCATCCCTTATAAGTTGCAAAACTGAACGTCTTAAACAAAGCTTTTCTCTGGCGATGTGCCTTTATGCTTATGGCATGTAATTTAGGACCTTATGGGAATTTAATGTATAACTTGATATATATTTTTAGTTTCTAGTTTTTTTATCTAGTTTATTGTATTGTATCTTCTCATAATATTATTGTAAGTCCCAGTCCATTTTGAGCACGATGTAATTAGTTTAAATTAATTAATTTTTTTTTGATTAATATCTATATCTTTGTAAAATAATTTTGCAATCCGCTTATTTCTAAGTGCGATGATTTTATTAATAAACCAGACTTACTAATTGGGTCACATGTGATGCATTGGTGATAAACTAAGTGTACATGTATAGTAACTAACCAATTGGAAATGATCTCCTTGCAGCTTGTGTAGCTGCAAGGAGAGGTTTGTTTGTGGTCCCATTGGTAAATATCACAGTCCGAGGAGTTGGAGGATCTGTCTTTACACTGGTGCATGCAGGATCTATAAGGATAGAAAAAAAAAAAAACAATGAGTTTAGCTGCTGGATAAAGTCGCTCTCATGCAGGTTCTGGCACTTTCATTTTGTTCAACACACATGCAACTTTACCCCGATTGCTAAAATCCTTGTATTGAGAATAAAGAGCCAGGTTATTAGTTATTTCATTGATTCTCTAGATCTCTTATTCATAAAAACATTCAAACCTGTCTTATCGTGGCAAATGTAAATTAGCATCCTCATTGAAATCCCCCTTGCGGTGTCACTGCAATGGCCTCCTGAAGTTCTATTCAAGGACAACATTGACCCATCACTGGTAGCTGCATGAATAATAAAGAAAAATTTAATGATTCAGACCCTAACACCCACCTACAAATTCTCCACGACTGATCTTCAAATCTCCTTAGTTGAGATGATTTCATAAAAAATCAAAGCATTTTTCATTTTTAATTTCATACAGCCTCCTGCACAGGCCTCTGCTAGCCTAAATAAACCTTCTGTGAATTCCTTCTGTGAGCCAGCCCTGAAATCCTTGTTCTACAATACTCGTCACAAATCATTAAAACAGGAGCCATTTGTCTTGAATTTTTTCCAAATTTCTTACATTCACTCTTCACATCTTTGTTCTCACTCAAATGTGCCCCTTCTCCCTTCCCAATGTTGCGCTGAGCGTATTTTGGAGCACTGAAATGACTGCAAACCCAAATCAACATTGAGGAGTGGAAAATCACACAAGTGTTTCAAGATTTATGATGACGATTGTAGGTCCTCAGCTGTGTACCAGGATTTGAGTACACACCATGAATGGCCTGTTAAAAATGCTTGTGTTTGACTGACCAATCAGGTTTAAAAGAAATTCTAATTCACTTCCAGTAATTTGTTGAGTCTGCTGGGGGTCTAGCAACCTCGTTCCCAGGGTCTCTCATCTTCCCGCCTGGGAGCAAGGTTGGGGTCTAGAAGAATTAAGAATGTTGTGATCATTTGGCAGAAGCTGCTAGCCAGGGTTATATTATATCTGGGATGAAGGCTAGCTTCTGACACTAGAAACAAAAATAAGAGAATTCCAATGTAAGGTTCTGAACGACATTAATTTCACTAATGAAAAGTTATTAAGATTTAGATGATTGATTCACCACAATGTACCTTTTACAAAGACGAGATTTGAGCATCTTTTTTACAATTGTAAAATAAAAGGATCCTTCTGGGTAGCTCTCTGTTCTTGACTTGTGGAAGATTCACGTTTATGCCAAATGGCAAACGTCTGATTCAAGTTGAGAATTTCTCAGAATAGAAAATGAGCAGATAAAAACTGTCCGGTACAATTTGTATGTGTAAAACTGGCATGAAACTACTTATTTTTTTAGTTGAAGTAATAAACAGTTAATGACATTTAAGGGAAAAACTTGGTCACATGGTACATATTTCTGTTTGCTGTTTGGTGTTAACGTGAATCTTAATCTCTCTAACATCAAATTAGAACCTTTGTCAGTTGTCAATGTTTTATTTTATGCAGGAGAAGATTTTGTCATTGTAAATCACCTAATTCTAGTGGCAAAGTTTTATAATGATTGCTGTACATTAAATGGTGTTAAAAACAGTAATGCAGGTCTTAAAAACAAAAATGTGAGCAATACACAATATAGAAGGTAGAATAGCATTTATGTGGAATAAGGCAGAATATCGGAACAAAATTGAAAAAAATCAAATCACATTTAAACTTAATTTAAATGCTCTCTACATTGAGTCTGTTCTTATTTTTGTGTAAATTTTTAACGTTAGTCTCAGGCTATATCGTGGAGTCATTAATAAATTTTTTTGTTGCCAAAACTAAAAGGCTAGCCTCTATCTGCTCTGTTATAAAATGAGCATGCTGATTTGACTCTGTGTGACATCACTTACCAATAAAATAATGTTTTGTACCAGGATGAAATGACATTTGCGAAGAAGGACTGAATGGCTGAAAGACCAGTTTTTCAAACTTAAGTTCTGTTGGTTTGTCACACTCAAGGAGACGACTGTTGATTGCTTTGTCTTTTGGGGATCCAACTTTGCATGCTTCAAAGCTTTCTTTATCTACATACCAAAGATTTTCATAACGTCTTTCACGAGCCACATGCTCTTGTGAACCTTGTGGATAAGTTGTAGGGTTGGGACAGATCACCATCAGACTATTGTATTGTGGCACTGAAAGTCTGTAGTATGCTCTTCCTCCATCAAATGATTCATTTGAGAACTGGAATCTTAACAAGTTAATAGTAAGAGCAGTTAACACCTAGCCAGATGTTGGGTGGTCATAAACCTTTGAAATAGAATCCCCACATTCCAGTTCTATCGATTACTTGTAGTGGCAGATTTATTACTTGTTTGCCTGCTGAAATACCATGCGACATTGCTTTTATCCCATAATTCGTTAAAGTGTCTGCAAAGATGGCGTGTAGGGGGGGGGTACTGCCATATATGGGCTATATAGGTATGTGCCGCTGTAAAGGGTATGGTTTTCAAGCAGTTTACTCTAGAATAAGGTATATAAATCAGAACGTTTGGGTCTAGAATAGGGTATCATTTTTCAGGAAACTGATCAGTTGGTTGAAGATTTTATCTAGGCCTACGGAACAGCTACCCTAGGATAGGGGGGATTTGGGGAGTTTACTCTAGTATAGGGTAGCAAAATTTAGCTGAACTAGCTCTGTTATAGGTTAAGGGTTCCAGGCTCCCAGCAGCATATCGATCCCCACCCAGAAATTCCTAAAAAGTACCCCCGGCGTGTATCATGAATAAGCCAAGGTCTGTTCCAAGGCGGAGAAACACCCAATAAATAAACTGCAGTAATAACAACTCGGCAAACCACTCTTCAACTAACTGTTTATATGATAACTTTCCTTTCAGTCATATTACTAGGCGCAAATGTTATTTTAGTTCTTATTCAACTTCAACTTCAACTTCAACTTCAACTTTATTCATTCACTTTCAATTTACAATTACACAATAGCTTCCACCCGCGTATGGGAGAGCCTAATCGAGGCGGGGGAAGAGACACACAAATTTAAAGAAAGAAAAGAAAAAAAGAACTATTTTACAAACAGTACCAGCTGTCGCAAAATAAAAACTATAGTATGTATTAAGCTAATTTAACTGCAATATGATTTACACAGAGAATATAAATTTAGTTGTGTTCCTGAGCTAGTTAAATTTAAGTTGATGCATGATTTCAGTGATTTCAAGATAGTCATCAGATTTAGATAAAATTTCAAAGAGCTTATTCCTTGTCTTTTTCCGAAAGGTACATTTTGGTAAGTTTCTCATATCTGAGGGTAAAGAATTCCAGATTATTGGTCCAACTCTTAGAAAAGAACTACACATTTTTTCAAGCCTTGAGTGTTCGGTATAGAAATCATCATTGAGAGAAGATCGGGTAGGATATTTCTGACCACAAGCCTCGATTAGCTATGCTAACTGCACGTTGTCAATGTTTGAAATATTGTTCTTTTAAAAAAGAAATAAAGTGTTGTTATTGAAAATAAACCCACATCACTGGGTTGGGAACTTGTATAAATAGGCCTCATCTGACTTATAGCAGTTTTACTAATCCGACTCAATCTGACAATGGTGGGATGTTAAAGAACCCATATTGCTGTTCTACAGAGTGTACTAAGGGAGGGTTTAATGGAATCTGAGAGTTAGTTCTACATATTTTCATCCCCCATCACCACTTTGATTCACTGTCAGAGGCAAAAGATCAATTAAAAAGAAAATAAGAATAAATAAATGAAAAATGAATAGATAAATAAATAAAGGAGCTATGGCTGTAGAAAAAGGAAAAAGGAAAATGCATATAAACAGGCAACAGTAGACTGCAAAACAGTCGGTTTTTTCTCAAAATCGGTTTAGAGTAGAGTAAGAGTAGCATCAGAGCCTCATGTGGGCGAAGAGCACAAGCCTGTGAGGCGAGAGAAAAGAAACCGACTGTCCATTTTCCATACAATAAGTTCATTCTGACCAGGGGGTTCAAAAACGTTGTCAAGGTGTCAAAAATCTCTCCACAACTCTGCCCTCTTTGTAAATTTGATACACCCAATGATTGATTTTGCAAGAGAATAGCACGTGTTATTGTTGGCACTTCGCTTTGAATCTTGTGGTGAACACTGTATCCACTAATTGCAAAGCAGTCTTGAGCATTGTTTCCGTGTGCAATGTCGTGTTTTCTGGAAGATCAAAAATGAGTAGAAGTGGCAGTACGCTGACAAAGCCTGTTCCTGTTCCTCAAAGAGGGAGAAAGCTGAGCCGAGCACTTCAAATAATTGTAGAATGTGTGGCTGTTGTTTCAAAACACAGTTTGGCAATTTTAAGAGAGAATGGATAAGCTCTGAAACATGTTTATTGCCCCTACTAGAAAAAAGTGAAACGTTACCAAAGTTAGCCATCCTTCCGACAAATGAACTTTTGGTTGCCCTCGACGAGGGAGAATTTTTCTCCATAAGATTTTTTTTCGTTGTGTGGAACAAAGGTTAGAAACTTTGCTGCAATTCTTTCACAACTAATCACGCCAACGGACAGTAAATTCATCACAGTAGGGAACATCACAAATGACTTGTTCGAAACATACCAGTACCGGTAGTTTTACATTTCTGCTCAATGACTTAATGATTGATAAAAGATAAAAGTGCTGTATTAATTAAATTATGGCACTGAAAGTAACGCAACTGGATGTAGATTCACATTAGGAGACGCATTGACCGCTTGTTAACAGCTTGCATCAAAATTTAGCCAATTGGAATTGCCCGTGGCTGGGAGAAGAGGGTAATTGGAACGAACATGACGTATGCAAAACAGACAGTCTGTATTTTTAGTGCCTCTTTCCAGGCTTGCTCTCCGTTTTCAGCTTTTGTTTGACTGTTCGTGCATACTTGAATCTACGCAAAAATACGGACTGTTTTCAGTCACTGTAACCCCAAAAACCACCACATCACTTTTGGAAAGAACTGACTCGTGCTCTGTTTTCAGGCAGTACAACACCTTTTATTTTTTCTGCTTTTAAGGTGTGTGGCTAGATGTGTCCAGAAATGTCTTGATCTTCTTATTACATGTACATGTATCTAGACTACATCAACTTTTTTTCCAAATAAGGCTTCCACTGAATTTAGGAAAATTTTGAGCCACAGGAATATAAAAAAAAAGATTCCTTTTTCTTTCCCTTTTTCTTCCTATTTAGCTTCCATTCAATGCGTTGAGCTCTGAAAACTTTAAATACACTGTACCTACATATACTGATATGGTTCAATTTTATGCTTGGTTTAAATTCTATTTTCTTTCATTTCTTATATTAATATTTATGATAATGAGTTTAAAACACAGGAAAATAACATTTGAACCAAGCACAAAATAATTAATGAACTACAACATTATACTAGTATGCTGCATTACAAAGCTTGTGTGATCAAGTTGTACTACTTTTTAATCCTATGTTGATGTAAAAATATTAATGATGCCCAGGATGTAAAGGACCTGTGTCACAAACTGAATGGAATATAAAAATACGTAACTGTTCAAAACATGAAAAGAATGTATAAATATGCAGCAAATACAAAAGGAGGCACGGTTGGACGAACTTAAAGAAGATTGAAACTGATTGCAATAATTTGTGGTATTTGGAAACTTCTTAACTGAACAGTTTTTCTAAGTTATTATTTTTTTGCTGTGACATTTGATAAAAGGCTTGGGAGGCATATCTGTTCGACATGAAGCTCTGATTTTGTCATGTACAAGTTATTTCGCAAGTTGCATAGTGAGTAAGGGTGAATAATATTATTGAGATTTTTAACAAAATTGAGCTAGACAGCTCGGTGACACAGCTCCTTAAAAATTAGCCAGTTTCGTTTTAGTTTTCAATTTTCCAACAGTTAAACAAAGCCAAGTGACACAGTGCTGCCTACTTGTATTTTACTTTGTTGACAGCACAAAAAACGTTTTAAAATGCATTACTGCCCGGTATCATACTTTACTATAAAGAATGTTCTGAATACATTCAATTGTACCTTTTCTTCTTTCTATTATTTCCACAGGGGGGGGCAACTGTATCCGTATTCACTCCCATTTAAAATAACAGCTAGAAATAGTGAGTAAGAAATTTTGATTCAAAGTAAGCTTACTAGTGTACCTTACATCAAAGCAGGTGTATTATTGAGTCATCAATATAAATATCTGGATTTTGTGTATATATGAGGCCTTCAAAGGGGTGGGGGGGGGGGGTATGCTGTTGCTCTGCTGGTCATTTCTGAGACCGCCTGTGCCTGGTAGGTTAGCAAAAAATGTCGCTGTCACATTCTACTTACGATGAAAATGTTGCTCTCGGTTCAGCATAAGTTTTGGTGACACTCAATTTTCCCGCCCCACCCATTTAAGGGAAAAGCCCCGGGGACGAGGTTGCTTGGAACCAATGGCAGGTATAGCATACTGAATATTTATATTGTTATTTACCTTTTGCTTGTGAGGGACCGTTCTCCAAAAAATACCGGAATAGAAAATGTACCAAAGAAAATGACAGAAAATGTTTGGAAATAATGCAAGAGAGTTTGCTATTTCCTTGCTGAAACAGCCAAAAAGGAAAAATTAACAGACGTCACCTTCACTACTTAAAAAAATGGATTGTCGCTGTCACTATTCTTTCCTTATTCTTTCCTCCTTTTTTGGCCATTGTTTGTACTTTCTTAGAGGATGGTTCCCAGTTTTTAGGACCTTGTCACCTGTCGGGATTTGAACCCTGACATCTACAATACTGGTGCAGTGCTCTAACTAATTGAGCTAGCAAGCCAACTGGGAGCTGGTCATTAAATTGGTTTGTAATTACTGTAAAATTCCGAAAATAAGCTCCTGGGCTTATATTTTTCAAAGGCCCTCTTTGAAAGGCTTATTTTTGGAGGTGCTTATATTCGGAGGGGCTTATCTATGGGGAGAAATTTGTGTTTCAAAATCGATATGGTTAGCCTTAAAGTTGGAAGTAAATTTACTGTTTTTGCTTTGTTTTACTTTGTACTTGAGGGCAATTTCCCAAGTACAAGCTCCTGGCGGGTTTTTATTCGGAGGGGTGATTTAACGGAGAGTTTTTTACATTACCGGATTGGGGGGTTTATATTTGGAGGGGCTTATACATGGAGGGGCTTATTTTCGGAATTTTACTGTATGTATCTGGGAAAGGTGACGTCATGAAATGATGAACATATGAATTTCATGTATTTGAACCACAGAATGAAGAAATAAATGTAACAAGGAAGAACCTTGCAGTTTAAGTCACAGCTCATGCAGTTGTGAAAAGAAAGCCTGAAAAATCCAGGCTTGCCAAGGTATACGGTGTAGCGAGGATCTTCCTTGCACATTTCTTCATTGCGTGGTTCAAATAATATAAAATTCATCCTCATTAGTTCTTTCAGTTTCCTTTGGAACTGTGAAAACCCTTCCATTCAGAATTTTTATGATGATAACATAATTATATAAGCCTTACTACCTGATTGTTCGGATTGTTTCAAATCAAACGGCATTGATTGTTAACAAGTTACTCCATCAGTGCTGTAGCTCCACTAGGAGCTGGAGTAGAAATCGATCGTGTTGCTCGCTTACTGGAGAAACCTGCTTACAGCTTAATAACATAACAGCAATACTCTTAAAAAATAGAGGATTATTTACTCACTTGGGATTTTGAGGTGTCCATTCAAGAGATTCAAGATACTTTTGGCTCCCAGGCTGACAGCAGATAGAAAAGACGAGAAGAAACCGCAGTCTTAGTACTGGATCAAGAAGGAGTGCACGCTTGGTTTTCATGTTGAATTGTTATCTTTTTTGACAGTGCTTATGGTGCGTGAGATCCTCTGTTTCTTAAGACCATTTTGAATAATTCATTTGGATGACTTAACCCATGAAGAATTTCGCAAAATCTAACCAAATATGACATCGAATATCGATGTCGGCCTCGGTCGTGGGAAGGAAGGAATTACTGTAGGGAAGTCCTTTGTGTATGTAGGCACGATCTGTAGACAAGATAAAAGATTGTGGAGGGCGTGGTTAGGCGGGGTTAGAATTTGGAGTCTCTATCCCCCGCAGCGGCCCCCGTACGGTATTCCAAAAAAAAGAGTAGCAATATTTTAAAAAATAAAACAATAGTAAGCGTAGCCTGCCAGCAAGCTCCTAGTCTCGATGAACAATACCTTCAAACTGATTTGAATAATCTTGGTAAATGGGCGAAAAAATGGCAACTTCGTTTCAATGAGGAAAAGTGTGAAGCAATGCGAATAACGCATTCTCGTGACAAATCGACTACGAATTATAAACTAGGTACGGCCTTAAAAGATGTCAAGAGCTTTAAAGATCTTGGAATTATTATATCAAAAGATCTTACTTGGAGTGAACATATTAGTACCATGGTGAATAAGGCGAACCAAGTCCTAGGGCTAATAAGACGGTCTGTTGGAACAGCTAATACAACAACTTTTTCATTGCTTTACAAAACATTGGTCAGACCACTTCTAGAGTATGCTGCTCCAGTCTGGAACCCATATCTTGTCAAAGATATTCATGCAATAGAGAGCGTGCAAAGACGCGCGTCAAGATTAGCTCTTAGGCAAAAAAGAGGTGATATGTCTTATGAAGAGCGTTGTGACTCGTTACATTGGCCATCTTTGTCCAGTCGTAGGACATATTCCTCTCTTGTTGAATGTTATAAGATCGTGCTTGGCTTATCACACTTGGATTTTGAGGAATTCTTTCAATTCGCAAAAGTCAAATCCACTAGGGCAAATCACTCGTATAAGCTTTATTGTAAATTATCTAGAATCAACTGTTTTAAATATTCTTTTTTTAACAATGTAATTAGTTACTGGAACAATTTACCTAGTAATGTTGTTGAAGCCGGTTCCCTTGAACTTTTTAAATGTAAACTCAAATCCTTTTTAAAGTTGTAATTTTTATTGTAATTTTTATTGTGTGTTGTTTTTAGGAGAGTTTTATTCCTAGGGTTAACCTCTAGACTCTCCCTTTCAAATTCATGTGGTCATTATGAGTTTTAATAAACATGTATGTTATGTTATGTTATGTTAAGCTCTTCATTTGGGGGAGTCGCGAGAACTCACGCGACATCAGAAATAACTTGAATTGACCCAATCAAGAGCCCATCAAGTGATGGGCTCCTGATCCAATCTCGGATCTGACTGACAGTATAATCAGAAAAAGGTCTATTTGTAGTGAATGCCATTTATCTTTTAATTGTGTGCAAGTCAAAGAAACACAAACTTATGGTAAGTTTCTCCACAACATGCACATACTACCAGCATAAAATTTGAACGAAACAATGTTACCCTCACAAACCAATATATAGAGAATAAAGCACAGACGTGATTCTGTGTCTTGGAACGCAACAAAAATATGTGAGATGAAAAGAGTGACCAATAGGCCATTAGCATGAGGGCGTCACTTTACCACTACGACCAGAATCCTTCGGGTTTTTCCTTTGTTGTGCAAATTATCGCCTTTGTTAGCCTAGTCCATAGGCGTTCTCTCTTGACCCGTTACCGGCGCGAAGTCTGGGCGAGTATCTCTCGGTGACGTCACAGCTCATGGTCAGTCCTGGCCCCGGTTGTTCAAACGCTGGATAGCGCTATCCACCGGATAAATCACTATCCAGCTGATAAGTATTACGGAAATCAATTACGCTATCCGCTGGGTAGTGATTTATCCCGTGGATAGCGCTATCCAATGTTTTAACAACTGGGGCCAGGATCGGACCGCGCCGAGAACGCCTAAGGACTAGGCTGCGCCTTTTTTATTGAAACCTCGCTGGGATTACCAAATTAAAACGTGAAAGGAAAAAGTAAGAGAATTTGATCTGCCGCAGTAGTAAAATGACGCCATCGTGCAAATGGCCTATTTAGTATAGTTTCATGTTGAGTACACTAACGTTATAACATTCTTATTTGCCAAAAATATATATACTTTTTATTTTTCCATGGTAATCGCTTGAAACTGCGCGCTTTCAATTCTACCTCTCCCCAGCCTCCCGGCGACCAAACGTAACAGCCCAATGAGCTATGCCGAGGAGAGAGAGGTCAAGATAACTAATTTGGGTTTCTTGATGGGTTGCGGCGCGATAACATTCTCAAATTATGAGATGTCGCTGTCGTCACCGTTGCTTTTTTTAGCTGTTTTCGTTTTTCTTGTCGTGTTTAATCCACGTCAGGAGACGTTAATCTCTTCCGTCTTAAAACCTTAATCCTATTCCAAGTTCAAAAACTATACCTCTTTGGTGTTCTGCTTCCTTGTTTCTGCACGTACACATAAGTGAAAGTTCTAGAGTTTCATTTCACTTTCTCATGGTTGGGCCATTTTTGGGCTCTTTAAGCTTTGACCACACGAATTTAAATCAGGACATTTTTGAAACCGCATACTTTTTTTTACACGAATCGGCCCTTCGTCGACAACACGAAAACAAATCCGGTTCGACCAAAACCCGTATTGTTATGAAACCGCTCTCCAAAGCGGTTTTAAGTCCCCGTCCGCAAAAAAGAAAGAATACATGCGGTTTGATATTTCAAAAGTGTCCGAATTCTTGTGTACATGGCTTATAAATAAAAGGTACTTACCTCGGGAACTGTCATAAGGAATTCTTTTGTTCTTTTCGACGTAACCAAGCAAATTTCACATTTGGAGAATCGGTTACACGGCAAAAAAAGTTGCTTCGCCGTGGGCAACAGCCATTTTACTAAAGGGTAAAACAGCTGGTTCAGCCGCAGCAATTTTTTCTTCTCGCTGTCTTCTATTTCAAATTAAGTCTGTGCGTAGTCTGCACTAGGAAATAATGAGCGCAAGAAAGAACGGGCGCTAGGGAGACACGAGCCCGTTCCTTCTTGCGTCCATTGTACTTAGCGCCTGCTACGTACGCTGGTTTGTGCGTTGTAAATGTAACGGCTAAAAGAGGCCGTTTACATGGATGAAAGAAGATCCTAGCACCAGGAAGATCCCAGTAGGCGGATCATCCTAGCGCTGTGTGTTTTCTGTATTCAGTTTACATGCAATGGGTTGTACTTGCCCCTTAGCGCTAGGATCTTCTTAGCTGCGAGGTAGGAAGATCATGGTACTAGCAAGATCTTAGCACCATGATTTGCTTTGATCTGTTTTCGCTAGGAGGATCCTAATTCTTGGGACAAACTATGGTGGCGGCGAGTCGTTCAGTGGGTGATCACGGTAATGAAGGCGACCATTTCGTTTGGCGTTACAGCTAGCTCAAGCTGATGATTGTGATGATTCTGCTGAAGGGCAGTAAAGAGAGAACTAGGGCCCCAAATTTGTTTTTGTTACCCACCATCTCTAGTTGGACACCACACGGACCCTGCCTGGCTCGCACCCAGACCTCTCTCTCGATGAAAATTTGCGCGCAAAGGAGGGCGCTTCGTCACCAGTCACTCGCGTTTTTCGCTCGACTCTATGCGAAACCATGCGAAAAACGAAGCAACTAAGGAGGATACTGACACAGACCAAAATTTCTGAATGTATAAAACCCAACGAAAAGTTGTTCCGTCTTCTAGGATTTTCCTCCCTCCATGTAAAAAGCCTTCAAGAAATGTAGTGACAGGGCTCTTTGTTGGAAAGGGGGGCATTTAAAAGCATTCTTGACACATGAAAACCTTTTCCCAGCTACCTGACCTTCAATGGAACAAGAACTAAAGGACTTTATCATGAAGAGGACACCAAACATACTCGGTCGTATTTGATTTATTCCTGGAAGCATTTATGGTCCACTAATACAGTGAAGCAAATAAATGATATATCCTAATATTACATAAAAATTGAACGATATTTAATTTAGTTAAAACAATTGAAAAATGCATTTTGTTTTAAGAATTATTGTCTATAAATTTAACATTTCAATTTAATTTTAAACAATTTTCTTAGAAAACAAACGCTGCAAACTAAGGCAGCTGAAAAGCTGATCCAGCTATCGATACCTGAAATTTAATAATTACAGATAAAAATGCTCTTTGCTCCGCCAGGCAATTTCGGCTCTGTAGGTTAAAAACAAGCGGAAAGTGCGACACTATCTATCCGTGATTCTATAGAACGTTCACAAACTCTTTATTCTCTAGATGTAGAATGAAAACGAACGCGAGATCACGGTAAGTTTAAAAACAAGAACTAGAAGGCGTGTGGGCACTGTGAATCCAAAGTGCCTCTTTACACCCATACAATTTTGAACACCTACAATCGCCATTTTAGACTAGTTTTTGTGTTTTCAAATTCTTCGCTGCAGTTACCGGTCAAATAAAAGCTGTCGAGCAAAGGTGAAGCGATAATCTTCCAACACCCACATCCCTGTGGATGACAATAATTCTTTCATTGGAGTCTCTTTAAGGTGCACACCCGTTTTAGATGGACTCATAGATCCAGCCCCAATGATGTCTGTGTTAAAGAGAGTTCACTGCACAACAATCTAGTGTGTTTCACTCCCTCTAAAACAAAGTTCGGTTCAGATAATAATTTTTCTTATTTACACATTCGCTGACACTTAAGTAAAATGTTACAGTAAATAACACCAATCTAAATCTTTGATCTTGGAGGATTCCTAACAAAGTATGAGGTTATACTGTACCTTCAATATAGCGACTTCTACTTTGTTTTCTTTTATATGATACTACCACTGTCTTGTTGCTAGTTTTTTTTTTTTTGTACAAATCACTTAATAACTCATCCTTGAGGACACTAGTTAATTTTATCTTCTGAGAACTAAAAATCAGAGTTTCTTGAGGCAGTGCAAAACAGACTTCAAAACAGTCGGTTTTCTCAAAATCAGTAAAGAAATCGGTAAAGCGTGGAGTAAGAGTCTTACGCGTGTGAAGCGTGGGAAAAAAGTATTTTTAAAGTATCTCCCCAGTCTCACTCTCTGTTTTCAGCCTCGTTCTTTGTTTGACTGCTCACACGTACTTGAAAACGCAAAAATATGGCCTGTTTTGCAGTCTATGAAGGACACATCAAGGTTTGAAGGAAATAAAATCAACTTTTTCTCTCATATTACTGGGGCCCGAAATGAGTTAAAATTGCACAAAAAATACATAAATGCATCGCACAATATGGGCCAAGTTAAGTTTCACAAAGACAGTCAAGACTGTTACTGGCGCCAGGGAGAATACAATTGGCCAATAGCTGACTGGCGCATCCCCAGTAAAGATTCCAGAAGTCTCTGCACTAGTTAACATGGCCCAGTTTCCTTCTTAAGTAGCAAATTGACCAAACACGAGATCAAGATTGCTGGATACTGGCCAAGCTCTCTTTTCGGGTTTTATGGAGCAGGGGGAAGTCGAGGTCAACAAAGGTGCGAAAAAGAATGAGGCCAATATCCAGCCATGTTGACCAAACAAGCTTGGTCAATAAACAATTTATTATATGGCCAAAAAGATAACTTTTTCTTGCAGTACCAACATGGGCATTTACCTCATGTACCGGTCACAGATAATGTAAAACAAAAGAAAAACAACCATGAAACAATACCAAACAGATTTTACCCTGAACCAACGTGGGAGTGGCCCATCTTACCCTCTTAGGTATCAAATAAGAACACAGAATTTGCTTCGTCTTGTCTACTTGCAGTTTAACCCATATAATAAATCACTACTGGTTACTAGTACTATTACTGGTGATAAGATTCAATAAAATTATTACACAGAACTTGGCACTAAAGGGCCATGACTCCCTTCTCTTTGGTAAGAAGTTTTCTTGCTCTTTGGTTTTCTTTTATATTTCCTAAAAAGTGAACAGCAATAATAACTTTATTTATCTAAAAGCAGAGCCATACAGAATATCACTGTTGTGAAGTGACCTCTCTGAATGAAGACTGTTATTTTTATGACATTAATTTTTTTTCAAATATTCCACCAAAACCAGTTTTATATTCTCCTTTCCATTAAGACCTAACCGGTTATTCATCCAGTCTTAATGAAAGCATTGCAAGAAGCATGTTTCCTAGTTTGGATGCAGCATCAAAAAATGTGTCATTGCACAGGTAAATAGACAGAAAAGCAAGCAAAAATGAACGATAGAAAGAGAGAGGATTATTAATAACAGCTGAATGCATCTCCTAATGTGAATCTACTTCCAGTTGCATTACTTTCAGTGCCATAATTTAATTAATACAGCAGTTTTATCATTTATCAATCATTAAGTCATTGAGCAGAAATGTAAAACTAATAGTGCAGGGTGGCAAATAATTTTTTTTTCTTGAAAGGACATAATTTTAAAAAAAGGTTTTAAGGTTTAAGGGCTCGTTTATAGTGGAAAGTGCACTTAGCTTATCCAATTAGTTTACAGGCACTCCACTCAATAATTAGACTGCAAAACAGTCGGGTTTTTTTCTCAAAATCAGTAAAGATACTCAATAATACTAAGAAACAAATAATTCAAATACAACATAAAAGGATTACCGTATTTACCCGTGTATAATGCGCACCCGTATATAATGCGCACCCTATTTTTCAAGACACTTTCTAGAAAAAAATTGTAATTCCTATTGTCATTAAAGCCACAAACCGAAACATTTTCAGCGCAAAATACAACAAAATATTCTTCAGTATAACAGTTTATTACAAGTACCCGTAAACTTTAAGTTTACAGAAGAAAAGCTCGACTTTTTTTCTTACAATCTTTGTTACAGTACAGCAATGATCCTAGTGGCCTATTTACAATAGGTAGTTTATATTCTTGTCATAACAACAGTCCTGGAAACAGCCATCTGCTATTGTTTCTTTTGTTTATGCAAATGAGTAGCGCTTCGGAAACAAAAGGTTCCGTGTATAATGCGCAGCGTAATTTTTCAGCCTCAAATGTCGTAAAAAAAGTGCGCATTATACACGGGTAAATACGGTAAAAAGGCAGGAGGCAACCAGTTGGCTATTTACAAGCATGGCCGAGGATTTGAACTCAGGACCACAAAGAACAAATCCAGCAAGTGGCCAGAGCGGGACTCGAACCCCGAAGTCCAACACACTGACCACTCAACCATGCTGCCTCCTTAATTGTCCTTCTACGACACCATCTTGTTCAGACATCACCAAAAAAAGGTTAACTTTATTGGGTAAAACAGAGGACAATACCATGCTAATGTACAGGTCAGGAAACTTCATTCAGTTCATTACCCAATTCAATGTTGTTTCGTGAATTTGAGATCATCCTTACCATAAAATGATTTACGACAAAAAATTCTCCGAACATATGCTAATGTCCAAACACAGGTGGGATTTTGTCAGACACTCGCAAATTTGGTCCTCCAATGTTCGATGACCGACTGTTATTTGCAGCCCTATAATTCTGTCATATAAGACCTTCTTTTTGTTCAATTAATATGACATAATTATCTATTGAAATCCCAGTATAGTTGCACTACTCGACTGAAAGATTCAAAATTTCTCTTTACAGAGAGAAATTCCATATCTCCAAGTAGCCATGTCATGTTCTATTCATTATACATTGTATAAACACAAATGAAATACCATTTCTCTTTGACGTGTTTTTTTTGACGTGTTTTTTTGCTGCAAAAGGTGCGACTTATTATAATGCAGTGACCATAGCAAAGGAGGTCTTTTCACATGTGAAGAAGAAACCATGTTATGATTTTCATGTGTGAAAATATCATGGTGGTTTGAGGTTTTGCAATAATGTTCATACTCACTTAAAGAAATAAATGTTCACTCCCACGGAGACAGCAAGCACTGCTCCTAATACTACTAAAGGTACTATCAATAGAGACACTACAAGAAGAAAGTAATTAATGATTAGTTATATGAAAAAAATATTAATCACATACATGTACGCATGTTGGCAATAAAGTCAGAATAGTCCCCCATTTTTCCTCAGGGATAGTAGAGCGAGCGAAACATGAGTGTGCGTGAAAATCACCCCACACGAGACGAGAAAAGGCGACACGCAGCGGGGAGAGAGAAAAATGAGGGACTACAGACAAAGCCCAAGCATTTGACCCTTCACGGCCGACTTAGAGTGTGAAGCGGGCCCCTCTCTTTTAGGCTTCCCCTCCCCCATATTATTATTCACTGATAAAAATAGACTGTATTAATCAATCACGACTGTCAGGAGTCTACTGTGACTGTATAACTTTGTGTGGACTGATCCAGGATGATATTTTATTCACCAGCTGGAAGTTCAGATTTGTTTTTTAACCCCATTTGCATGACCTCCAACTTCTTGTACTTGAGCTTTTCCACTATGCATTCTAGTTCTTTACGGAGAATTGATACCATCTTCTTTGCTAAATTGAATAAGCCTCCCATCTCTATTAAGGCCCCCCCCTCAAATATGTTTGAAATAAAATAATAATCCCCCACCCCTCCCCTGCTCCCCCTGCCCCCCCTGCCCCAGGAGCTTCACAGAGGATTTATGGTACATGTAGTTGTAAAGAGATAAAATAATGAAGAATTATTGGTAATTAATTCCTACATAATTAGATGTACATGTATACAAAAATTGCTGCATGTACGTTGCACTATATCCCAAGCATTGCTGAACCGGTGGCAATTTGGCTGCAAAGAATCATGTTGAAACTGCCAACTGTTTATACTCATGTGGTTTGGGTTTGAAACATTACGGCTCTTGCCTTACAGAAAATCATACAATAAAATTGCACATGATCATCTGAACTAAAAAGTGAGAAATAGTCAGGGTTCACTTCAGAGCAAAAACCTGTGAAGTTTTTCTTTGTTTTCTAACTATTATTGTCGTTGGCTCTATTTTGTTGACTTCTCAGTAGCTTCTTTGTATTCATTGTTTTACGTCATTCATGAGTTTCACAGGTTTTTACACTGAGGATGAGCCAACAGTCAGGTTAGTGTATTCCTACATGTACATTGTATAGTGTGCATGGCAGTGATGAATTTTGGTCAAAACTCTCGAAGAAAAACCTATTTCGTGATCAAATTGGCTGGTCCATTCACTCACAGGTTCTAACTTAACATGTGTTAAGACATTGAGGTTGTTAGTAAAATCTCAAATACTACGTACCACCTGTTGATGTAGGTTTATCCCTTTTGAATGCCCCTACATCTGCTGGTTCCTTGGGAGGGGGGTCAGTGATGTTTTGGTTCACCAGCCAGGTAGATGGTTCTGTGGTTGGTGGAGCTGTAGAAGCTGGAGCCTTTGTACTGCTTCCAACTGGTGATAATGTGGATGACGAAATTGTATCTGTTACCAAGTGAGATGCAGCTGCAGAGGTGGTTGGTGGTCTTGACGTGGCTTCAGGACAATGTTTATCTAAAAATAATGACTAAGATGTTAATGACTCCAATCTCATTCACAACAAGAATGCTCTTTTCAAAAAGAATTACAAGTTGAGCTTGCTTGAAGATTACATGTATATAAGAACTGAGTAGGGGATTAATTCTACACAAAAAAAGGATTTCCTTGCTTAAAGTTTTTCAAGTCCCACTTTATCCATAGTCGAGTATTATTTATTTCTTCAATAAATCCAGTTCAATTTATAGTTGGTCAGAAAAGCAAACATTACCTTCTTTATCTCGGCATATATATACTTCTAATTTCATGTTATTGGTCTTACAATGTCCTCCACTTGTCTGATCCAGTGAACTCTTACCACCATCAGAAGTAGCTAAAGCCAGGAAATATTAATATTTAAAAATATACAACTGGTAGAAAATATTCCTAAATCAATATTAATTAACCTATCCACTCCTTGACTGGGTTATGGAAGTCGATGAAGTATACTTACAGCTGGAGATAAAGGTGCCAAGGAAGACACCATATCCAACATGGAGGATACACTGTTACAGTTATAATATTGAAATGGAAGAATGAAAGAAAAAAGTTCTCAAAAACTAATGTTTGAAGACGAATGCAAGAGAAAAACTCATTGTGTGGTTCCAAAAATTATCCATACCTCCTCCACGGAAGAGATTTTTCCTTAAACCCCCCACCTCTCTGGAAATTCCAGTCAAGCTTCATACATTTACTTAAATCTTTGAGGCTTTGAGAACCCCCCACCCCCCAGGAATTTCCAATCCCTTCTGTGGGGGGAGTATGGATATTTTCTGGAACTACACATTAAAAGAACAACACACCCAAGACAATGCCATTGCTAAAGAAACACTCATGTTTGATCATACTCATGCCAAACACAGTAGCTGTAACACATGAGCACAATGAAATCCTAGCACCCCTGAAGTGCCATTGACTACAACGGAAGACATGCTCCTTTCTGTTGACTCCATTTAATAGCATATAACTGCATTTACTGATAACAGAGGTCAAATTGGTGCAAGTTTATTAGGGACTCTTTAAATGGAGGGAGGAAGATCCTGGGAGACAGATCATCTTACAGCCTTGTAGCACCATATGTTTTCAGTGTTTGGTTTGCATACAAAGTGTTGTCTCTGTCCCTAGCACTACGATCCCTAGCACCAGCTAAACTGCCTTCACTAGCAGGGCTCAAAATTAACTCGCAAACTCGCAAAATGCGAGTGATTTTGATAATCTGCGAGTAAGAAAAATATCCACTAGCAAACGATTGCGAGTTAGAATTATCCATGTCTCCCAAACAAAGGGAAATAATTTGCTTGTGGTCTCACCAGTTTGCTAGCGGAAAAAAATCTTACTAGCAAAACTTTGCAAGTGCACTAAAAAGATAACTTTGAGCCCTGCACTAGGAAGATCCTTAGCTGGTACTACAAGGGACAAACCAGACAAAAATGGCAGTTTTTCAATCAGTGGCTAATCATGGCAATAAAGGTTGACAATTTTGTTTAGCGATACCATGAGCTGAAAATTGTAATAATTATGCTGAAAGGTAGTTATTAAGGCCAGCAAAGAGAGCAAAAGAACCCAAACTACATTTTTGTTTTTATCACCCACCATTTTTAATTCATTCTAGATCTTTTTCTACTTTAATTAAGGCATCACACAGACCAAAATTTTTGCATGTAAACCCAACGAAAGGTTGTTTGCCTTCTAGGATCCTCCTCCTTCCATGTGAAAAACCCATACATGTAATTATGTAAGTTCAGGTACTCACAGATGTAATAGTATGTCTCTCCTGGATTATAACCAGCATCCCCAGAGGGAGTAAGTGGTAAAAACAATAGTTTTGTCCAATGAAGTTTTGACGGTTGGTCACAGTTCAACAGTTTCTTGTTGCTTGCAATACTAGTATTGATGTTACATGAGTGGTAACTTGAACTGTCCACCATCCATACGTTTTCATACAATTGATTCTCAGTGGGGTCTGAATCTGTTTCTTTCAGAGCAACGTATTTGGTTGGACAAATAATGTTGACCTTTGAGTATGATGAAACATTTAACCGAATGCTTCCCTCCTGAAATCTGCAAAAGAATAAATGAGAAAACATACTAAATAATGTACATTTCAAGATGAATGTGATTGATATTTTAATAACTTCTCCTACTAGCACTGTAGGAAATTAGATGTAAATGGGTTGCAAATGAGAATATCAGTTTTGATATTTGGGTTATTAAAAGGGTTAATAAAGTCTTGGTATTGAACCCATGCCAAGATAACAAATCTAATGATGCTAAAGTTTTATATGAAAGATGTCAAAAAGTGCCAAGCACATCAGTGAGGCCCTGTTAAGGAGAATTCAGACAAGTCTGACATGATCTTGAAACAGTGAAATAAGTCAAGTGAAACAGTGACTATCAACGCAAAGATGGGTTGAGACTACGACAGCGATGAAGAAAAGGGCAAAATGGTAGTAAAATGCTGACAGGGACAATGCTTCCTCCTCAGTCACTGGAAGGACACGTTTTGAAATTCAGGCAATGCCGTAAGTCTGGCCCTATAAAAAGGTCCTCAACAAAGATCAACATGCTTATGGCGTTTTATGTTTCCCAACCCTTTCACTCCTAGAATATTCATGAATTAAAAGCTCTGGTGAGGTGCATTTCAACATGTATGTCATTCTGTACTTTTGCATCTGTGAAAAAAATTCTCTGGTGTATAGGCAGGTGTTCACAACCATCATTCAACTGAAATCTTTTGAACAGTAATCTTGCATGATTCTATGAGTTTTTAAGAATTCACCAAGCCTTTGGCAGTTTAGATTTGTCTTGTTTTGACTTTGACCACAACTGAGAGTAAATAAATCAGAGATATTAATTTGCACTGATGTCATCTTTTAAAGCTTAAAACCAAAGCAGATGGCATCACAAAGTAGCAGCTATTTTTCTCGCCTACTTAATACGGACACCTCATTATTACGGACAGTTTACTGTGTCCCTGGAAAAGAAACTCAATACATTTTCTCTAAATTCAACCAGCTTGATACGGACACTCCTCGTTAATACCAACACTTTCTGCGCCTCCCTCAGTGTCCGTATTAAGGGGGTTTGACTGTAAGTTATAATAAGAACAGCTGCTGTGCTTAGGGATGGTTCATTATTTATGGGAATGACCGGGTCGGGAAAAAACCGAACGGGCTTTGAAAATTTTTCTTGCCGTGGCGACGGGCTTTGTGTTTTTTTCTTGAACAAAGAGACCGGGCTTTAAAAAAAATCAACATAAACTAAAACTGTGGTAGAAATGCGGCAGTCGTTTGATGAGAACAACACATGGAATCTGTATTCGTCGTTGAAAATTCACCCGGTAAATTGTCGTACTTTCATATCAAATAAATATTGCTACAATATTTTTGGTAATGCAGGGATATACCCGCAAGAAAAAGCTCGCGCTTTGCGATTGAACACTCGAGAATTTTGACAGGCCACAGAATGACACAAATGTACTTTGTGAGCTGCTCTTTTATAGTTGCTTATATTCATAGCAATAAAAGGGGGTGGTAGGCCTACACGACTTTTTCCTCATGCCAAAATGCTGTTTATTCCAATAAAATTGTTTTTATCTGCTGGATAGATTATGCTCTGGAAGGTTCTGCATTTTTACTGAGCAAATGTGATTTTAGCGGCATGTTTCACACTGAGAGGTCATGATATACATATCGATTGACTGTAGTTATTGTTTTCTGGTCGGCAGGATTTGCCCTCTGATGCAAGCGCATTTTCTTTGACCTCTTTTGAAGCGTAAAGCTTTTTTATTACGGCTGAATAAGGGTTGAAATTTTCTCCAAAGTGCCTTCTGGATCTGAATAACTAAGCGATTTTCTTTAGTGCGTGAGTGTAATGTTTTTCTGCAATGCTGTATGACGCTGGGCCCAGCTCGTCCGTTTTCTTTGCAGAATGTTAAATTCTCACGGATAGTGACTTACAGATCCAAAATTATAAGAGTGAACTGCAGCTTAAACTGAAGCTACATAAACTTACTATGGAGAATTGAATTGTGACTCAGTAAACTCCAGCTTAGTGTTTTTGTAAAGATAGTGTGAGTCTTTTGACTGGAGCGCGTAGTTCCTCCCTTGGTAATAGCTTTGAATAAACTTAACAGTCTTTAAACTGTTTTGTTGTTGCCACAGTTTGTGATCAGGCAAGACCATGGTTTCGGTTCTCCACACGAACCTCATCAGTTGCCAGGTTGGCTTTGTGCTTAGTTGCTTTTGTCTATTGAGCTTTGAACTTGAACATAAATACCCACGTGGCGGATCGAAGTTCTTGTTTTCCTATTGGCTTCTGAACGTAACCATTTACAGAGTGTGTATTTCGATCCTCTTCTGCTTCAAGCTAGAGGTGTGTTTTCTTGGATAGCATTTCGTGAAAATTTGAGCACTTTCTTTTATGGAAGAGTTCAAGGACTCTTGTAAATAGGTGCGCACAGAGTTTCCGTACACTCCCTCTAAAAACTGGAGTGGATACATTCCTTGTTAGGTGTGCATTGTTGAACTTTCTACTCTGTGCTTGGTTCTTATTAGTACCTGTGCCTGTCTCGCGAACGTGTTTAAAAACATGTTTGTGGAAACTTATTCCTTTAACAAAATGTCGAAAACTTTCAAGGAAAATGTTACTCCTCCACAAGAAGTTCTATTTGGAGAGGTTGGAAAACTCCAAACGCTTCTTGCAAGTCATTTAATACGAACGGTTATATATCCGTGTTCAAAGTAGCCTGCGTTGCCTTCGTGCAGACGTCTACAAAGGAAATAGGAGACGTCTGCACGCAGGCAATAGCCTGTGTAGCATGGCGGTTATGCTTGGGCGCGCTAAGCAATAAAGGCGGGCGAGGGCAGAGAAGCAGCAAGGAGACTGGGGCGGGAGCAACTTGAACTTTTACTTTTAGCAACTTTTATTTTTCTCGCGGCTTCGCCGCTCGTTCTCGAGCACTTCGTGCGAATTTCGCGGCTTCTCCGCTCTTGCGCCCGGCTCGACAAAACTGCCATGCTACGCAGGCTATGTTCAAAGATATATTTAGGACTTTTTCACTTATTTGGCAAACGATGAAATGCCTCAAGCTGGATGGCATTTGTTAACGTGCACTTTTCACAGATGTTAATAAATTATTGTTTGTAATCGCTGAACTCGTTTGAGAGCCGTTTGCTGACTCGAACGGCGAACAGTTGTGTATTTGATCCGAACATGCACTAGTTGCTCTAGTCGTAAATAAACATTAGGGCCATTTATACAAGGAAAAATAAGACGCGAACTGTACCATTTATACGAGCATGTCTTATCTAATAAGACGTGTCTTAGCTAAGCCGCGTCTTATTTTAGATGAAATGTGCCGTTTATACGGAAAGTTCGAGTCTTATTTAAGACGCGTCTTATGTAAGACGCGTCTTATTTTTCCTCGTATAAATGGCCCTAATGAATGATTTTCACAAGGTATTCAGTTCAATTTGAACGGGCTTTGAAAAATTTGACCCCAAATACTGAACGGGCTATGAAAAAACAAAATGCCATTTGGGCGGGCTTTAGAAAGAAAGAGGAAAGCTATTATTTTTTTCCCGACCCGGTCATCCTCATAAATAATGAACCGTCCCTTAGTTGAGATCCCCATTTATAGTAACATGGCAGTTTAATGAGATTATATAACAATAACTTATCAATTCTCAAATATGGAACTTAATCTTTTCCTTCTTTACTAACCCACAATAAGCTGATTTTCACTAATGATAGTGACAAATTTAATCCGCATTTTAAATTTCCTCCATAATTCACAATCATACAATTACTGGAAATGGCCTTTACCACAATGTTCTTTAAGTTGCCACCACACAAGAACAATCTTAACATGAAATCAGAGATAGGTTCTAAAAGTGCCGTCTATATAAAGTTATCATTTACACAGGTTTTTTATTTCATACATACTGTAATTTGCAGACTTGCCTATTAATTAACTTAACAACCTTATAGAGGTTCAAATTTCATGGCTTGTCATAATAAACAGGCAAACAATAAAAGAATAAACTGAGCACAGATGTTATAATCCCAATATCGCCACCCTGAAACTTAAACAGACTATAACAAAACAAGCTGGTGAGAGTGTTTGGACAGAAGGGATAGTCATTTAATTTGGCCACACTTAAACAATGCAAAGAACACTTCAATAATCAATTCATTATGAAGGATAATAGAATCATTGCATGTTAAAGTCTTTGAATTTCTGACACTGGAAAGCACCTAATAAATGTTTTTCATCATAGATCCCACGTAATGATGAAAATATATATGCCCTTAAAAAAAAGCAAAATTGGGTTTTTAGGCCTGGTGAGGTCAAATTATTTGCAAGAATTATTTTGAGTGGGTTACTTTAAAAATGGGCAGGCTTTTACTCTGGTAGGTTAAGACAGGTATAAAATCATTTCTCTAGAAATGTCATGATCCAGTAAAAATATATAATTTTGGACAATAACACTTAGCTGCTTGAAAAGAAATTTACCTATTTCTTAGGGAATTTTGAAAAATCTCTTTAAAATTAAGAGACAAAAAATATTCATGTACAAAGTCCAAGTAAAATCTACTATTCCAGTGGTAACTTGAGTATAAACAAAACAAAAAACTATGACTAAGATCATTCATACAAACAGCACTGATATCCAGAGAATTAAGAAAAAAAGAGAGGGATTACATCATGTGCTTTGCAACCAGGTGGACTAGAAAGCAGGAAAGATTTTTTTTGGTGTAATGTAGGCAGGTCTATAATGCGGGGGAGTTTATGGCCAGAATTTTCCAGTAATATACACAGGAGACAGAGGCTTCAACATCTTTAAAAGCTGTTTAGTTAAAAATGGTACACTTTAATCGCAAATTTAGCGCAATTATGCAACATGTTCAGGTTCATTTGAATTCT